TTGATTCAGATTTGATGGAGAAATCAAAAGCTTTACAGGCAAGCCAAAGCTATAGGAATTCAGCACTACCAAACCAGCTTTCCACAAATGTTAGAGGAACTTCTCCAGGGGGAAAAGAAAAGGCCACAACTAGAAACAAGGAAATTACAGAATGAAAAAGCTCACCAGTAAAGGCAAACATACAGTAAAGGTAGGAAATCATCGACATACATAGCTCGTAGGCAGGTTAAAAACAAAAGTAGTAAAATCATTTGTGTCCACAATAAGCAGTTAAGGGATACACAAAACAATGAGGTGTAAAATGTGGAGTCACAACCAGTAATTGTGAGAGGAAGAGAGTACAAATGCAGAATATTTAAAATGTATTTGGAAATTAAAAGAATCAGAAACTTAAAATAATCACACACATAGAGAGAGACCATAGTAAACACAAACCAAAAATCTATAATAAATACACACACAGAAAAGAAAAGGAATCCAAACATAACACTGAAAATAGTCATCAAATCACAAGAGAAGAAAACAAAACAAGGGGAGGGGGGAAAGAGCCACAAAACCAAATCCAAAACAATTTTTTTAAATGGCAATAAGAGCATACAGATCAATAGTTATCTTACACGTACAGGGATTCATGCTCCATCCAAGAGACACAGACTGGCTAAATGAGTACAGAAACAAAACTGATAAACCTTTAGTCAGACTCACCAAGAAAGAAAGGGAGTGAGCCCACATCATTAAAAGCAGAAATGAAAAAGAAGTTACAACTAACACCACAGAAATACAAAGGCTCGTAAGAGACTACTATGAGCAACTATATGCCAATAAAATGGACAAGCTAGAAGAAATGGACAAATAGAAAGTTACAATCTCCCAAGAACAAACCAAGAAGAAATAGAAAATATGAACAAACTAGCTACTGGTACAGAAACTGAATCAGTAATTTAAAAACTCCCAACAAAAAGTCCAGGTCCAGATGGCATCACAGGTGAGTTCTATCAAACATTTAATAAAGGTATATATGACTAGACCCTCACCTAACATTGTACTAGTGGTGAAAAGCTGAAAGCATTCCCCTAAGATCAGGAACAAGACAAGGATGCCCTCTCTTGCCACTTTTATGCAACATAACTTAAATACAATTACGTTTTGTTTTATCCCCACAGCAATCAGAGAAGAAAAAGAACAGGAATCCAACTGAAAATGAAGTAGAACTGTCACTATTTGCAGATGACATGATATTATACATAGAAAATCCTAAGGATACCACCAGAAACTAGAGCTCATTGATGAATTCAGTAGTTTTGCAAGATACAAAATTAGTATACAGAAATTGTTGAATTTCTATACACCAAAACAAAATATCAGAAAAAGCAGTTATGGAAACAATCCAATTTACCATCGCATCACAAAGAATAAACTACCTAGGAGCAAGCCTGCCTAAGGAGACAGAAGACCTGTACTTAGAAAACTGTGCGATGCTGATGAGAGACTGAAGGTGAAATAAACACATGTAAAGATATACCGTGTTATTGGATTAGAGGAAACAGTATTGTTAAAATGACCATACTACTCAAGACAATATACAGATTCAGTGCAACCCCTGTCAAATTACCAGTGGTGGTTTCCACAGAACTAGAACAAAACATTTAAAAATTTTTATGGAAACACAAATGACCCGCACCTAGACTAAACAATCTTCAGAAAGAAGAACACAGCTGACTTCAGGCTATAGCACAGAACTTCCTGACTTCAGACTATGCCACAAAGCTAAGGGATGGCACTGGCACAAAAACAGACACACAGATCAATGGAACAGGACAGAAAGCCCAGAAATAAATTCCTGCACTTACAGTCAGTTCATCTGGGACAAAAGAGGCAAGAATACACACTGGAGAAGAGACAGTCTCCTCAATAAGTGCTGCTGGGAAAACTACATGTAGAAGAATGAAGTTAGAACATTTTCTCACACCACATACAAAAATAAACTCAAAACGGATTAAAGACCTCAAGATAAGACCAAATACTCTAAAGCTCCTAGAGAACATAGGCAGAACACTCTTTGACATAAATCGCAGCAATATTTTTGGGGATCCATCTCCTAGAGTAATGGAAACAAAACAAAAACAAACAAATGGTACCTAATTAACCCTAAAAGATTTTGCACAGCAAAGGAAACCATAAAACAGTAAGACCATTTACAGAATGGGAGAAATTATTTGTAAATGATGCAACCAACAAGGAATAATTTCCAAAACATATAAACTGCTTGCTATTGAGAATTGAGTTATATAAGCTAACAAAACAAAACAAAACACACACAGCCCAATCAACAAATAGAAGACCTAAATACACATTTCTCCAAAGAAAACATACAGATAGCCAACAGGAATGTGAAAAGATGCTCAATGTTGCTAATTATTAGAGTAATGGAAATCAAAACTACAATGAGGTGTCACTTCACACCAGTCAAAATGGTTATCATTAAAAAGTTTAAAGATAATAAATGCTGGAGAGGGTGTGGAGAAAAAGGGGCCCTCCCACACTGTTGGTGGGAATGTAGTTTGGTGCAGCCATTATGGAAAACAGTATGGAGATTCCTTAAAAAAACTAAAAATAGACTTACCCTCTGATCCAGCAATCCTAGTCCTGGGCATATATTCGAAGGGAACTCTAATGAGAAAAGATACATGCACCCCAATATTCATAGCAACACTATTTACAATGGCCGAGACATGGATGCAACCTAAATGTACATTAACAGATGATTGGATAAAGAAGAGGTGGTATATATATCCAAGTGAATATTACCTAGCCATAAAAAAGAATGAAATAATGATATTTGTAGCAACAACGATGGACCTAGAAGATAATCATACTAAGTGAAGTAAGTCATATAGAAAAAAATATATATAACTTCTAAGTAGAATCTTAAAAAATAATTCAAATGAACTTATTTACAGAACAGAAATAGGCTCACAGACATAGAAAACAAACTTATGGTTACCAAAGGGGAAAAGGGTAGACGGACAAATTAGGAGTTTGGGATTAACATATACACACCACTATATATAAAATAGATAAACAAGGACCTACTGTATAGCACAGGGAACTATTTTGTAATATCTTGTAATGACCTATACTGGAAAAGAATCTGAAAAAGGATATATACATATAACTAGACCACTTTGTTGTCCATCTGAATCATTGTAAATTTACTTTAATTTTAAAAATATGTCTAATACGACTAAATTTGTGATACAGATTACATCACAAATGGTAACATAAATTGTACTTAGGTAGTTGAAGAACCAAATATTTGTTTTTTTGTGTGTTCTTATATATTTTACAAATTTCTATTCATTGCTGGAAGTTATTTTGATAAAATAATTTAAAGAAAAAGTATCTAGAAACAAGTATTACAATGAAATTTTACATAATAATGTATAATAACATAATGCTTATTATGTTATTATATTATATTATTAAATGGTGCCCTTTCCATACTACTTAACCTAGACTACTTGCTTTCTATGGCATTAGCAAATTAAAGTTATAAGATTTTCTAAGGATAAACATATTAGAATTATGTCTTGGTGACATTGGTACTAATGCTTCTATATTTATACTTCAAAGTTTGAGTCTAGGAAAGAGAAATACAGTCTTTCAGCTGAACAACAATGTAGCCACCAGTTAGCTTCATTTACATAAGAATGTATAATGGAAAGCAACTAGAAAATAACAAAAATACATGGATTATGTGTTTAATTCAATTAATTTGAAGGGACCTTTAAAATAAAACATAAGAGAAAACAAAGGAAAGATTTAAGTTAGAAAAAAGCATAGTTAAATGTTTAGAAAATAGAAAAATAACAGAATTAAAAACAAAATATACTGGCTCTTTTGGGTGGGGAGCACAATAAAATGAGTAAAATAAATAATCAGGAAAAATGGAGGTAGAATAAAAACACATATTAAGAATGAGTAAAAATATTTATGGACATAGAAGAAATTTTTTAAAATTTAATAGAAAACTCAATATAACAAAAATTACTTTGAAAACATGGAAAATATAAATTACCAAACTGAAGATATAAAGAAGTGAATCAGACAATAAATATAAAAGAAGTTCAAAAGTTATTAAAGACTTGGCTCACAAAAAGGCTAGACACAATTTCACTGATAAATTTATAGAATATCTTAGAAACAGTAACAGAGCAAAATTCTTTGCCATGTAAATGTGTCAAAGCACAAAAGAAGCATGTATTTTGATTTTAAATAAACTGTCTGCAAAAAGGTAAATTGTATTCCAGTCTAACTTAGGTTAGCTAATCTAATTAAAGCATACAACAAACATATCACATTCCAATCTAATTACAAGATGAACATAATAAAACAATACATATAAAAACCCAACAGTACTTTTAAATATCTTAAAAGCTTTTTTCATGGAAAGTAAGTATGTTTTCTATTAGGAAATTTGTTAATAAAACTCACTATATTAACATTTAAATGATGAAAATAACACATCCATCTCAATATAAATGGATAATCATCTGAAAAAAAAACAACAACCCAGTATCTACTTCTAAATCAGAAATATGTGACTAGGATCTCTAACAATGTTAAAATATTTCTTTCTATCATAAACCAATAAGACGAGTATACTTTGCAGTGTAATCTTGTTCCATTAGTATTAAAGTAAGTGTATTAATCAGGGTTGTCCAAAGAAACAGAACAAATAGAATACGGAGATACAGATGAGAAGATTATAGGAACTAGCTCACAAGGTTGTAGAAGCCAGGAAGTCCTACAATCTGCTGTCTGCAAGCTGGAGAACCACGAAAGCTGGTGGTATATTTCAGCGTCAGACTTAAGGTCACAGAACCAGGAGAGCCAATGGTGTAAGTCTTCGGTCCAAAGGCCCAAGAACCAGGATCTCTGAAGGCTGAGGGTAAGAAAAGATGGACATCTCAGTTCAAGAATAAAGAGAGACAATTCACCTTTCCTCTGCATTTTTGTTCTGTTCAGGCCTTCAATGGGTTGGATGATGTACAGCCATACTGGTGAGGGTGGATCTTCTTTATTCAGTCTGCTGATTCAGATGCTCATCTCTTCCAGAAACACTGTCAAGAACACACCCAGAAATAATGTTTTACCAGCCATCTGGGCATCCCTTATGGAAGGCAAACTGACACTTAGAATTAACCATCACAGTTAGAATTAAGGTAAGGGTATCTATTATCACCAGTATTATTTAAATACTCCATAAAGTAGTCAACAAATTGTCAGTATGTCAGAAAACAATAGCAACGATAAGAAGAATGAAACAAAATTTTAATTATTTGTGGATTATATGACAGTTTCTTTAGAAAAGCAAAATAGCTATTGCATAAATTATTAGAAATTATAACAAATTTCAGTAAGATAGTCATTGGCAAAATAAAGTCTTCTTCTATGAACAGTATCACATATAAAATACATAGTCCATTTGGAAAATCACTTAAAATAACTTACCTATAAGTAAACTTTAAAAGAAATAGTTAATATTCACATGAATACGATTATAAAACTCTATTGAGGGACATTAAAAAGATCTTTAATGGATTGAAATCATCCAATATTGTATTTACTGGACAGTAAAATTTCAAAATATTTACAAATATCAATCCTTCTTAAATTAATGTGAAAATTCAAGGCATCCCCAATGAAAATAGACATTTGTTTCTTTTTGGTCTTAAATTGGACATGAATAAAGCAGAGAAAGTTCTTAGAAATAGAAGCAATGGAGTGTGACCTACTCTTACATAGCAGTAAATTTCATTATAAAGTTAAAATGATTGGAAACATTCAATACTGAGGCAGAAACAAACATCAATGGCACAAAATAGAAAATCTAAAAATAGATGTAAATATGCATGGGAAAATAATATATGTAAAAGCTGGCATTTCTACACAGTCTAGATCATTCATCATGTGGTATTGGGCCAACTGGCTTATAATTTGGAAAAGAAAATAAACTTGGAAAATAAACCTGGGCAACTTATTCACTTCTATGAGAATAAATCCCAAATGGGCTTCAAATATTATACGTGTAAAATTACAATAGAGAAAAAAGTCCTATAAATCGTAAGGTAAATGAGGAATAACACAAAAGAAAATTTAGTGCTCGCTTCGGCAGCACATACACAAAAGAAAGTTTAGCAAATTGTCTGAACTGATATTTCAAACATATTCAATGACCTAAAAACATGGTTAGCTTTTTCATCTCAACAATACAAAAAAATTACAAATAAAAACGAATTATTATTGCCATATGGATGGCAAAGATTTTTGAAAGATTAGTGAGGCAAATTGGCAGTATTTATCAAAATTTCTGTTGTGTATATTCTTTGATTCCGTAATTCCAATTCGAAATACCTATTCACAAACACACTAGTGGGAAAGATTTCTGTATGAAGTTAATACAAAGTAAATTTGTAATAGGGAAAACCTGAAAATAACCTAAGTATTATTCAATAGAAGATTAAATAAATTAACATACAAAGTATATAATCATATGCAGCCATTAAAAATAAAACAGCTAAACTTGATATATTTACAAGTGAAGAAAAGGATATTGTAGAATAAAATATAGAATAAGACCCTACTTCTGACTAAGAAGTAGTATTAAGAACATATGCCAAAACAGAGATTTCTGAAAATGCACAGAGATAACTGGGAGTGACAGTGGTTGTGTGATTGGCGGGAAGGGGACAGTGAAAGAGATCAAAAAGAAGATAAAATTTGCCTTTTAACCTTATTATATATAGTTCTGTATTGCTAGACATTTTTAATATTAGCATATACACTTTGTATTATTTTAAAAAGAAAAAGGAAAAAGAGAAATTGTGATAAAACTCATGTTTGTAGAGGAGTAATAAAACAAACATCCTCTGTCAATTTTGTTGGCAATTTATCACTGTTTTTTAGAAAGCATTTGTTAGCATCAATAAATTGAATAATATGCATATACAGTGAGTCAGTAATACTTTCAAAAATTACACAGTAATTATATGAGCTCAAGAATGCAAAACAGTTTGAGAGACTGCTCAGTGAAGAATTGTTTCTAATAGCTGATATATTGAAACAAATATTTTATCAATAAGGAAATGGTTAATAACTTATGATATATTTGTTAAGGGAGTATAGTACAATATTAAAAACATTGGAGCATATCTTTATATAGTGGCAGAGGAAGTGGTCCATGTAAAATGTTGCAGGACAGGACCTAAAACTAATATCTACAAATGATAATATTATGATTTACACAGTAAGTTGGTGTATACATGTGCAAAATCAGAAATATACATGACTCTGTTAACACATGTATGTTATACATAAACACACATACATAAACTTTGTTATCTTTGAAGAGGAAGATTTGTTATTGTTGAAGATGAAGCAGATTTTCTAAATGTCTGCTCTCACATTGGTAAGTGCTTTCAAATGATGATTTATGACTCAAATCAGAAAACTAAGAACATACTATTAATTCAAAACCACCTAAGTTTTTAGATGTCCACACAAAGTATTAACATAAGCATAACTTAGTGAAATTAAATAAATTGCCTTCTTTGCAAAAAAGCAAATTTAATCTATTGAATGTAAATACCTATCAATTTGATGTCACTCTTGTTAAAATATAAATATCTAAGAGCTCAAATATTGCCTGTCTGCACACCTCACATGACTCCATCAGGTGATGTTCAAGGGTAGAAAGACCTGCAAGTCACTCTCACAGAAAATAGTTCATTTCTCCGTAAATCCATGCACTACCAACACTTCCGTCAATGCCCGTATCTTAAAATTGGTATTGTTTTTTCATTCAGTAACATTAAAAATCATTCTCAAAGAAAGGTTTTGCAGCCTTACCTCTGTGGGTTATAGTTGAGAATTTTTTCTTTCCTGAAACTCCGAATGTAGAAGTGGATTAACCACATCATTATTTACCCAACTACCTTCTGCATTATTTGTATACTCTTGAACAATTAGTGCCTATATTCTCTGGTAAAAAAAAAAAACAAAAAACTATTCCCATGAGATACAACACTGAAATTGAAATTCACAAAGATAATATTAAAAAAGAATTAATTATGAAATAAGAAACAGATGTTAAATACCTAATTTACACTGAATTATAAAAGGACAGTCAGCCTGATTAACATAATTTCCTTAAATGTGTGTGGAGTAAAAGACTACCTTAATGCCAGTATTAACCTTTTATGGATTGACTTGAAGTTAATTGTGGAAAGCAAACTCTAATTTTTAGTTTATGTAAAGTCACAGAAAGGCAGAACTCTCAAAACTTCAAAACTCTAAAACTAAAATCCAAGCTAATAAGGAAAATACCAGGAGGTTCTCTCATGAAGTCAGAGATTGCATATATGAATTTCCATTTCTTTTGCACTTATTATATATACATGTGATATACATATGCTTACTTCATTATATGCCTGCATATACATATACAACATATACACATACGCGCCTAATCTGGACTCTAGAAGCAGAATGGCACCTCTCAACCACAGTTGCCCTCACTTAGCAGTTTAAAGGCAAAGTTACTTCATCCTTTAATAAGGCTGTTTTTAAATTTTGAATCATTTCCTCTAGCTTTCCATGGTAAAGTATATTTTTTAATATTTTCTATATATAAAAAATACTGAATGGCCTTATTAGCTGCAAGCAATACATGCCACAAAACAGATTTGGAAATTGGAACATACCCAACATAAATGGTTACCAACGGTGAATGAGAAGGCATACGGAACAGGGCAGTAAAGCCACCAACACAATATGAGGAAAATCATTAAACGATCTGGAAAAGCATCAAGATGGCTGGCCTCTTTGTAGTTCCAGCACAAAGACTGAACCTTATTTCTCAATATTTTCCCTGGTGGGGGATAACAGCTTGAAAATAATCCCAGATGTATTCATTTGTGTAACCATTTGCTGCTTGTAGCATATAGGCATGGAAAAATTATTGAAGGCTTCAATTCTGGACTTGTATTTTTTTAAATGTCAGGCTTTTGAAAAATAGCACCATTTTTCTTTAAAACCCATTCATTTACCTGGAATGTTGGCCACCAGGCCTATAATATGGACTTGGTTTTGTTAAGATTGAAAAAATGCCCAATGGCAAAAGAGGAATGGGCAATTTTAGTGGATTTAACTAAAAACGAACCCAAACTCAAATGAGCAAATGTCCAAGCAGGGTAAAAACCAATGCTTTTATGATTCTAAGCTAGCCAAGGAATCCTAGATCCTGCTAAAGAAACATCAATTTAGAGAAAGAAAGTAATCTAGAAGGTTTTCTTTAGAGATACTGAAAGCAGAAACTTTGAAATCAAGTTTAGACTGCCAACTTCACACGTGTGCATTTTTTTCCTGAAAGCATCTTCTTGTTTTGAGATGATTCTAGATGTTGAGAAGAGTTTTAAAAGCTAAAAGTCATTTTTAAAAATCAATTTTAAAACATCTCATAGATAGTTGAGACAATTTATAGTTCTTAATTGTTGACAAATTCATTTAAACTCAACTTTTCAAAGTTCTAAGAATTCTGCTTTCTACATTTGAGTATACATTTTTTTTAAAGTAGAATCTGCTGGTAAGTGTGATGTATGTATGTGTCTGTGTGACTGTGCACAGAGAGATTTTAATGTCTTTTTTTCTTCACTTGATCAGATTTTGTTGTTGTTTTAAAGATCACTAGGAAATATAGAACTTTTTGGTAGCCGTTCTAGTGCTGAAATGAATGTTGAGTTTTATCATTATTATAAACCAGCTTCTTGTGTAGAATGTGAAGGGTTGTGTTTGAATCCATCATCCATTTTACAAATATTTAATGAGCACCTGTGTTTTTCCAGGCACAGTTTAGCAACTAGGATTTCAACAGTGGCAATGACACCTCAGTATATCTTTCCTCCAGAAGGCTTCTTCAGGAAAACTAGACTCATATTTCTGATTATCTAAAGAAGACAACCTGGGACAAGAAATAAGTAGGGAAATATTCTTTCATTTACAGAACTCTATTTTGTAAACATTACATCAGTTTCTCCATAATTCATGTAAATGATTTATCACC